TGGTAACTAACCCCTTAAGAGCACATGTAGCATGAGAAAAAGAGCAAGAAGGCTAAGGTCAAAAGGAGAGAGTGTGGAGTGAGGGGTTACAGAAGAGACTGAGGTTGTAGAAGGAAGGGAACCCAAAGAAAGGGATGTCACAGAAACCAGGGAGAAGCAGTGAATCAAACAAGCATGGTCAAATGTGCCACAGGCTGCAGAAAGCTCAAGTGAGATGAGGACTGAAAATCAGGAAGCCTTTAGTGACTTTTCATGAGCAGCAGCAGTCTCACTACTGGTGGGAATGTAAATTTGTACAGCTACTTCAGAAAATACTTTAGCATCGGGGGCCAGCCCCACGGCCGAGTGGTTAAGTTCACACGCTCCACTTCGGCAGCGCAGTGTGTCACAGGTTCGGATCCTGGGTGCGGACATGGCACTGCTCATCAAGCCACGCTGAGGCAGCATCTCACATACCACAACTAGAAGGACCCAGAACCAAAAAAATATACAACTACGTACTGGGGGGCTTTAGGGAGAAGAAGGAAAAATAAAATCTTTTTAAAAAGTTTTTTGAAAAAAGAAAATACGTTAGCATCAGTGGGGGCAGTTGAACATGTGCAAACTCCAGCACCCAGCAATTCCACTCTTAGGAACATATTGATGCTTGCTATTCAAGGTGTGGGCTACAGACAGGCAGCGTTGGCATTACCAGGAACTTGTAGAAATGCAGTTCAGACCCCATCCAGACCTATTCACTCAGAATCTGCATATGAACAAATCTCCAAATAATTCATGCGCACAATGAAGTTTGAAAGCACTTGATCTTCAGACGTTTTTGCTCATGTTAAAAAAGTTTTGCAAATTATGTACCCCTTGCACATTTTTATGCTGTTATCGAAAATTTTCCTCAAATGTTGAAACAGTTGCAAAAGGATGCAATTTCCAGCGTGTTGTAAACAACTGATCTATTTTTTTAAGAAGATTAGCCCTGAGTAACATCTGCTGCCAATCCTCCTCTTTTTGCTGAGGAAGATTGGCCTTGAGCTAACATCCGTGCCCATCTTCCTCTACTTTATATGTGGGACGCCTGCCATAGCATGGCTTAGCCAAGCAGTGCCATGTCTGAACCCGGGATCCAAACCAGTGAACCCTGGGCCACCGAAGCTGAACATGCGCGCTTAACCGCTGCGCCACCAGGCCGGCCCCCAATTGACCTTTTTTTTTCCCAAGGATTTTATTTTTTTCCTTTTTCTCCCCAAAGCCCCCCAGTACATAGTTGTATATTCTTCGTTGTGGGTCCTTCTAGCTGTGGCATGTGGGACGCTGCCTCAGCGTGGCCTGATGAGCAGTGCCATGTCCGCGCCCAGGATTCGAACGAACGAAACACTGGGCCGCCTGCAGCGGAGCGCGTGAACTTAACCACTCGGCCAGGGGGCCAGTCCCCCAATTGACCTTTTAAAAGAAGTGTTATTTCACTCTTTTAACGATACTCTCTCTGATTCATTAAAAAGTACATGATCACACTCTTCAACAGTCAGAAATTTCACATTGTTCCATTTCTTCTTTTTTTTCCTTTTTTGCTCCATTTCTTCTGAATTCAAATTTTTTATTTCTAGTCCCCAAAACATTATCCCAATATATTTTATGCTTGAAATTCTTTTATTCTCTGCAAGAAAAATATGTATATAAATTAAAATTGAAGTTTTAAAATTTCCTGTGGCCTTAAGGCTGTAAATGTTAAACTTTTTCTTCTGGATTAAGCAATTAAACAAAAAAAAAAGATTTTATTTTTCCTTCTTCTCCCCAAAGCCCCCTGGTACATAGCTGTATATTTTTAGTTGTGGGTCCTTTAGTTGTGGGTCCTTCTCAGTATGGCTTGATGAGTGGTGCTAGGTCCACGCCCAGGATTTGAACAGGCGAAACCTTGGGCTGCTGAAGCAGAGCACACGAACTTAACCACTCGGCCACAGGGCCAGCCCAATTTTCTTTTTTGAGAAAGATTAGCCCTAAGCTAACATCTGCTGCCAATCCTCCTCTTTTTTGCCAAGGAAGATGCGCCCTCAACTAGCATCTGTGCCCATCTTCCTCTACTTTATACGTGGGATGCCTGCCACAGCATTTCTTTTATGTATTTATTTATTTATTTATTTATTTTCCCTTTTTCTCCCCAAAGCCCCCCGGGACCTAGTTGCATATTCTTCATTGTGGGTCCTTCTAGTTGTGGCATGTGGGATGCTGCCTCAGCATGGTTTGATGAGCAGTGCCATGTCCGCGCCCAGGATTCGAACCAATGAAACACTGGGCCGCCTGCAGCAGAGCGTGCGAACTTAACCACTGGGCTATGGGGCCAGCCCCATGCCACAGCATTTCTTGACAAGCAGCGCATAGGTCCACACCCGGGATCTGAACCAGCAAACCCTGGGCCGCCAAAAAGAAAGGTACGAACTTAAGCACTGAGCCACAAGGCCAGCCCCTGGATTAAGTAATTATTATGATTATCATTAGTAATTAATTTATCAAAACAACATGAATATATTACAAAGTTTGCCAAATGATTTAGCATAAAAAATAAAACTTTATTGGAAGCGCAGTTCGAAATAAGATGACCGAACCACCTCCTTTTCAAGTAGTTCATGTATTTATGGATGAACATTACTTATTTGCTAGAATTAGGATTCAGCATGAATTCTATTCCTATTTTTCATTTTTGTAGAGGTAAGAACTGAATATTTTGTTACCATAAATATGTAGATGAGAATGGAAAGAATTTTCTCATAGCAATGTCACTAATTTCTTTGAAATCATACAAAATGATATACCAAAACCAGTGATCTACCATCAAAAATCAATCAGCTGCTCTCTTCAACAAATGGTGCTGGGAAAACTGGATATCCACATGCAAAAGAATGAAGTTGGACCCCTACTTCACACTGCATACAAAAATTAACTCAAAACAGATCAACAACCTAAATATAACAGCTTAAACCATAAAACTGATAGAAGAAAAGATAAAAGTAAATCTTCATGACCTTGGATTTGGCAATGCTTTCTTAGGTATGCCACCAAAAACACAAGCAACGAAAGAAAAAATAGATAAATTGGACTTCATCAAAATTAAAAAAGTTTGTGCATGAAAGGGCATTTTATCAAGAAAGTGAAAAAGACAACTTACAGATTGGGAGAAAATATTTGCAAGTCATATACCCTCTAAGGATCTAGTATTCAGAATATATAAAGAGCTCTTACAACTCAACAACAAAAAGGCAAACAACTCAATTTAAAAATGAGCAAAGGACTTGAGTAGACATTTCTCAGAGAAGATATACAAATGATGCCAACAACCACATGAAAAGATATTCAACATCATTAGTCATCAGGAAAATGCAAATCAAAACCACAATGAGCTACCACTTCACACCCACTAAGATAACTACAAAAAAAATAATAAAATGGAAAATAACAAACGTTGGCTTGTGTATGGAGAAATTGGAACCCTTGTACAACGTGCTGGTAGGAATGTAAAATTGTTCCACTGCTGTGGAAAACAGTTTGGTGGTTCCTTGAAAGTTAAATATAGAAGTACCATATTACCCAGAAGTTCAACTCCTAGGTATATTACCCAAAAAACCTGAAAGCAGGTACTCCACAAATACAGCTACATTCATAGCAGCACTATTCACAATAGCCAAAAGGTGGAAACAGCCCAATGTCCATCAACAGATGAATGAATAAACAAATTGTGGTATATACATATATTGGAATATTATTCAGCCATAAAAAGGAATGAAGTCGCTAATCATCAGGGAAATGCAAATCAAAACTACACTAAGATATCACCTTACACCTGTTAGATTGGCAAAAACATCCAAAACCAAGAGCGACAAATGTTGGAGAGGTTGTGGAGAAAAAGGAACCCTCATACACTGTTGGTGGGAATGCAAACTGGTACAGCCACTATGGAAAACAGTATGGAGATTTCTCAAAAAGTTAAAAATAGAAATACCCTATGACCCAGCCATCCCATTGCTGGGTATCTATCCTAAGAACCTGAAATCAGAAATCTCAAGAGTCCATTGCACCCCTATGTTCATCGCAGCATTATTTACAATAGCCAAGACGCGGAACCAACCTACATGCCCAGAAACTGATGGTTGGATAAAGAAGATGTGGTATATATACACAATGGAATACTACTCAGCCATAAAAAAAAGACAAAATTGGCCCATTCACAGCAACGTGGATGGACCTCGAGGGTATTATGTTAAGCGAAATAAGCCAGTCAGAGAAAGACGAACTCTATATGACTCCACTCATAGGTGGAAGTTAGTATATTGATAAGGAGATCTGATCGGTGGTTACCAGGGAAAAGGGGGGGTGGGGGGAGGGCACAAAGGGGGAAGTGGTATACCCACAACATGACTAACAAAAATGTACAACTGAAATCTCACAAGGTTGTAATCTATCATAACATTAATAAAAAAAAAAAAAAAGAATGAAGTACTGACACACGCTACAACATGGATGAACCCTAAATACATTTTGTAGTTAGTGCCGTGGAGTGGATTCCGACTCCTAGCAACCCTGTGTACAGCAGAGCGGAACCCTGCTCGGTCTTTTTGCACCATCCTCTCACCTTCTGGCGCTATATGAGACAATGCTCCACTGCTATTCATAGGATTTTCATGGCGAATTTTTTTTTCAGAAGTGGGTGACCAGGTCCTTCTTCCTAGTCTGTCTTAGTCTGGAAGCTTCACTGAAACCTGTCCACCATGGGTGACCTTGCTGGTATTTGAAATACTGGTGACACAGCTTTCAGCAACATGCAGCCATCACAGTATGACAACCAACAGACGGGTGGTGTGGTTCCTTGACAGAAAAAGAACCCAGGCCACGGCAGTGAGAGCACCAAATCTTGACTATCTTAACCACTAGACCAGGGGGCTGGCAAAGACACTGTGATCTGTGAAAGAAGCCAGACACAAAGGGCCATATGTTGTATGATTCCATTTATACAAAACATCTGGAATAGGTAAATCCATAGAAACAGAACACACATTGGTGGTTGCCAGGAGGGAGGAGGGGAACAGGGAGCAACTGTTTAGCGGGTATGAGGTTTTCTTTCGGGATGATAAAAAGGTTTTGGAGCTGGATAGAAGTGGTGATTGCACAGCATTGCAAACATACTAAATACCACTGAATTGTTCACTTCAAAATGGTTAATGTTATGTTATGTGTATTTCGCCTCAATAACAGCAAGAGTTAAAAAAAAAAAAGGCCAATCAGCTGACATTCAATGAGTTCTCCTTTAATTTTGTTGAAAGGAAAGACAGAGAAAGAACCTGACTAGCAGAATGATGTTACTAGGTCACTCACTTTCTCAGAACCAACACAGACTTTGGACCGCCCCTTTGGTGCCCTGGGGTTTTGACCCTCCTGAATTCCCCCTTGGGCCTTCTTTCTGTGGTAAGGGAGGGTCAGACGAGGGGTGCGGAAAGAGATACCTGCTCTTCTTTCACAGGGGCCCTCTCAGGCCCATCAGCATCCCAGCATCACATGGGAGTGTCAGATCTGCAAACTGTCCCCTTACATCTATCCAGGTCCACCTACCCCTTGGACAGTGCTCTCCCCCTACAGGGATGCATGTGCCCTAGTTTGAAGACTGCTGCCCTGGAGAAGCTTACACGTTGCACCCAGAGAAGACTAAAGAGAGTTCACAGCACATTGTGGTGATAACCACCAGTTTAAAAAAAGCAAACATCCATCCACAGGACAAAAGACAAATAAATGGTGGTGTGAGCATGCAATAGAAAGAAAGTGAATGAATTACAGCTAGACAAGTCAACAAAATCATAATGTGGAGTGAAAAAGCCAGCCCCAGAAGAACACAGGGCATGATTCCATTTATATGAAGATTGAACAGGCAAAGTTAAACAGTACGCTGTTTAGGAAAACCTACCACATGTATAGATAGTGAAACTATGAAGATAAGCAAAGGAAGTATACACAAGAAATGCAGGGTAGAGGTCACCCTGGGGGAGGGAGAGAGACGCAGTCAGCGTGGAGCACACGAGCCATCTAAGGTCCTGGGAATTTATTTCTTAAGCTGTAATCAGGTACCCAGGTATTTGTTTCCTTCATCTTTAACTATACATGCTCATTTTATACATTCTTCTGTGTGTCTAATATATTCACAATAAATATTTTTAGGAGAGAGGATGAGTGTGAAGAAGGGTGAACAGTCAGAACGCTGGCTGTGCCGGGAAGGGGGGAGGGAAGATGCGGCAGCAGCAGCAGCCAGACAGGGACCAGGTGGAGGAAGGACTTTGTTTTTAAACATAGCAAAGACTTGTCTGGGTTTCAAGTAAAGGGGATACGTGGGAAGTCCAGGAGGGCAAGAAATGGAGCAGAGCTAGGAGTGGGATGTAGGAAGGCAGGATTGGCTTTCAACAGGCTCTAAAATTAAGGAGGGGAAATAAGGATGAGGAAAGAAAGAGATGTTTGGGGCTGTGAAGAGGGCACTGGAGCCTCAGTTAAGAGACACAGCCCACTGTCTGCTGAGAGAGGGGTATCGGGAGCAGGGTAGGGGAACTCAGGAGAGTGGATGAGGTTGGAAGGGAGCTGTGATGGGGACAGGGTCTCCTCCAGATGCTCAAAGTAGCATGGAGAACCCAGCTGAAGGGTGCCAGCTGAGAGCAGCTGAGTGATGCTTCTTTTTTCTTTCTTTCTTTTTTCTTTTTTGAGGAAGATTAGCCCTGAGCGAACATCTGCTGCCAATCCTCCTCTTTTTTGCTGAGGAAGACTGGCCCTGAGCTAACATCCATGCCCATCTTCCTCTACTTTATATGCAGGACACCTACCACAGCATGGCTTGCCAAGCGGTGCCATGTCCACACCCGGGATCCGAACCGGTGAACCTCAGGCCGCCAAAGTGGAACGTGCACACTTAACCACTGTGCCACAAGGCCAGCCCCTGAGTGATGCGTCTTGAGTGGCATCTTGGCTAGACAGGAAAGGAAGGGAGAAGGGAGGAAGGGAGAGAGGGAGGTAGGCAGGGAGGAGGAAGGAGGCCCTGACAGACAAGGGAAGACTAGATGACTGGAGGTCTCCCTGGGGAAGTGGACCAGGTGCACTAGCTGCCCACCAGGAGGGAGCAATCTGGGGGCTACTCAGAGAATGGTGTGCTGGTATTTTAAATTTCAGAGAGAATAAAAAGTTCCAAATGCTGATAATCAACACAGTGTGATACTGAGAAGACAGTGGGTGAAATGGAGTCAAGATAAAAGTTGTTGGAAGGAGGTCAAGAAGCTTTGCAGAGGGGCCAGCCCCCGTGGCCGAGTGGTTAAGTTCACTTGCTCCGCTTCGGCGGCCCAGGGTTTCTCTGGTTCAGATCCTGGGGGAGGCTGTGGCACCGCTCATCAAGCCATGCTGAGGCGGCGTCCCACATAGCACAACCAGAGGCACTCACAACTAGAATATACAACTATGTACTGGGGGCTTTGGGGAGAAGACGAAGAAAAAGAAAAAAAAAGAGAAGATTGGCAACAGATGTGAGCTCAGGTGCCAATCTTTGAAAGAGGGGAAAAAAAAAAAAAAAAGCAGCTTTGCAGAAACCAGTAATATTTGTTGCTGAAGGGAAGGGGAGCTGCGTGGGGTGGAAGGGAGGCCTTTCACTAGGTACCCTTTTGTGCTTTTTGAATTTTGAACCATATGAATGATTCCATGAAAACATAAAATAAAGTGGACAATTTTCTTTTAACTGGGGTGTGGATTAGGTCATCTGCATGAACACTGGCAGGCCTGGGGAGGATGCCTCAGCCAGGTACCACAGGCCTGGAAGCCAGTTGCTCATGGCAGCAAGGAGAGGCAGGGCGTAGCAGAGCAGGACTCATGAGGCTGGGAGGAAAGGGGGTTTGGCATGAAGTGGAAGAGTCCTATTCCTGGGATTGGCAAGGAGCTAGGAGAAAACACCCTCCTTTCCCCAGACCTAGTGCTGAGCTGGGTTGGGGATGGTGTGGAAGACTTGGAGGAGAGGGAAGGTGGTGGGCTGCAGGGAGAACTAAATTCCCCCTAAGGTAGGAGGGGGAGGGAAGAGTAGGTCAGGAGGCTGAGGCTGTGAGGGGCTTCCAAGAGCTAGGGAGAATGAGTCACAAGGAAAGAGGAGGAGCCAGCAGCGAGTAATGGTCAGGGGAAGGGAGTACACTGCAGGAAATGGACGGGAGTCTGGGAAAGGGGTTTTTGCAAATGGATGGGAGTGGTGGGGGCCCTTTGTTTTGATAGGGTTTCTTTTCTCCAGCTGTGAGCCCCTGCCACCATCGCCTAAAAAGGACACAGTGTTCACCAGGGTTCCTACAGTAAGAGTGTGGGTCAAAGGAGAAAGGGGGGAAAGTTGGAGATTTTGTTGTAATACAAGAAAGTTTTATCAGCCTCTGGATGAAAAAGGCCAGGCTGCTTTCCCTCCTCTTTTCCTATTGGTCACTTAAGGAACATAGTTATTCCAGTCTGGGCTAAGGACAATTGCAAAAGTAAACCTACTGCCAAAAATACTTTGCACGCCTCAGAGAAATGTCCAAGTTTTCCTCCTGTTTGGGATTATCTAGGCCTCTGCTCGCCTCCGTCAGTAACCAAGAGCGGCGCCCCAAGCCATGAGCTAGCTAGTCCTTGACCACTTTTCTCAGACATACACAAATACGCAAACTCCTTTTCAGATTGAGCTTTTACAGTCTCACAGGGCTGGAGAAGAGTTAAGAGGACAATCCCTCCATTTCATTGAAGAAAATACTGAAACTTCTGGGGACTTGGTGACTTCAAATCTGGGCTAGAACCTAGTCTCCTAGTTGTTCCTTGCATCCCTTGTCAGATTTTATTTATAAAGCACACTAAGAATCCTGAATTTATCTGTTCTGGACACTACGCCAGAGCGTTTGGTCCTGCCAGCCAAGGACAGGAGGCCCCCTCAGCACACACTGGCAGAAATTGGGGACCAAGGGACAAGGATCTAGATTCTCCTACATGGGGTATCTATACGTGGGGAAACAGCCCTGAAACATCTCTCCACCAGATCATACAGGAAAAGACAGGGCTGGCCCAATGGCGCAGCGGTTAAGTGTGCACATTCCGCTTTGGCGGCCCAGGGTTCACTGGTTCAGATCCCAGGTGTGGACATGTCACTGTTTGGCATGCCATGCTGTGGTAGGCATCCTGAATATAAAGTAGAGGAAGATGGGCATGGATGTTAGCTCAGGGCCAGTCTTCCTCAGCAAAAAGAGGAGGATTAGCAGCAGTTAGCTCAGGGCTAATCTTCCTCAAAAAAAAAAAGAAAGAAAGAAAAGACAGCCTTGTGCGCTGCTGCTTGTTTCCATACAAAACTGTAGCTGGGTGGACTGGACACATGAAGGACTCGTCGGCTCTCAACTCTACCTGCCACCCAGGACCACCTGTCTTAAACTCAAAGCTGAGATTAGGCTCCCTGTCCCATCCACACTCCCAGAAAGGAGAAGGAGCAAGAAGGGGACAGGAAACAAAACTTTACAAACCTAAGCTCTGACTCTGGCAGCTTCTGTGTCTCCGCCCTCACTGGGCTGTGAAGCATTCTTCGGAGAAGTTTGGCCGTGAGGAAAAGAAGAGATGAGATAGGAAAACAGAATTTTTAAAATTCTTTTGAAAATTTCGTAGTCTGCCTCCCAATTAGGCAAAGATGAAGGGAGGTCTCATTGATTCAGCATCAACTGTACACCAGGCTCACTTACACCTCACATGAGCCCTGTGAGGAATCAAGGCCCTCCAATTCAAAGATAAAGACGCTGTGATTCAGAGAACTGAGCAACTTGCCCAAGGGCCCTCTTTTAGGAAGTAGTAGAATATGGCTCTGAGCCTAGGTGTGTCTGACACAAAAGCCAATGTTCTTTCTCAAATCCACATGGCCTGACTACAAAGGAGATTTCTACAATGAGGGCATTTTAGAATAAAGAGAACTAGGTGCAGGCATAAAAGTCAGAGAATTTAAAAGGGAAAGGCAGAGTCAAGGCACTTCCTAAGCGCTGTGCCCACTCTCCCACCAAAGGGCAGCCCTTGAGTTCAGGATTCAGTTTCAGTCAGGAACAAACTTTTTATGGGTGGATGCTGGCTGTGCTGAAGAGGAATGACTTCAAAAGTCATTTATGGCATGACTTTTATTTGCAAAACATACCCATGACATAATTCTTGCAATCCAGAAGTTTACCATCTAATGGGAAAACCACATATTGAATGCATCACATAACAAGCAGTTTCATCAAAATTGATGAGTTAAGGAAAATGTTCTCGTCTCCTGGAGGATGTAATAAACAAATGCAATTGGCAAGAGACAGGGGCTTCTTCACCTGGACTTGGATGGGTGGGGAACTGAGTGTGGGTATGAGATGCAAGGAGTTGGGAGGGAAGGGAAGCCAGTCTCGCAGGGCGCTAATAAATGCTGGTGGTGAAGCTGTGGAGACTGCAGCTTCGTCTAGGAGTGATAGAGGAAGAGAAGGCAGACGTGCACAGTTGAGAGGTTTTGTTTAGGGCGGTGGAACTCTGACCTCGTCATTCTGGGGGAAGGGCGGGGATCAGAGGGACGGTTGCAGATGGAAAGATTAAAGATAGTAGAATCGTACTAATATAAATAATCGCATAATTAGAAGAATTAGTACTCAGGCTAATTATATAGTAGGGGTGAAATGGGCAAGGTCATTGACAGCGCAAGCGCAGGACGTTTGCCTTGGCAAGAATTCGGGACCAATTCTGAGAATGGAGGGGAGAGGAAGATAGGGTGTGATTTTACACGATTGTGAGACTGAGAAGAAAGTTAAAGGCACTAGATTGTTTCCCTTTGTAGGAAGTTAAAACATCTTTCAGGCCAGGAGGGCTGGGGCTGTTACTAGCTTCAACGAGTTGGAAAAGTGTCAAAGTGTGCCTGGAGGAACTGTGAACACGCTCAACACGGGATGCACGCGAGAACTACAGAGGCCAACCGCTCTGATAGCCGCGGAGCGGCATGGGAGGGGCCGTGGCTGCAACCCGGCCCCGCTCTGCGCAGCTGGGCCAGCGCCGCACCACCCCTGGGAGCAGGTGGCAGCGCCGCCAGGGGTAGCCAAGGCCTGCGGGGAGCGCAGGCGTGCGGGGGCGCGCACGGGGAGGCGCGGAGCCGGCGGCGCCACAGGCCGCGGGGAGCGGGGAGCGGGGAGCGGGGAGCGGGGAGCGGGGAGCGGGGGGCGGGCCCCAGCAAGCGGGCCTCCGCGCGGCACTTGGCACGCAAGCGCAGACGGGCCGCGGGGCCCGGAGGCACACAGGAGGGGGAGCGAGAAAGAGGGGGGTGTGGAACGTATTTCCGCTCTGGCGGACAAATAATACCGGCCAAAGGGGAGGCCAGGCCGTCCGGCCCTTTAATCGTGTGGGGGGGCTGGCGAAGAAAGGGGGGTCGGGAACGGGGGAATCCTGCTCCTTTAATTCCCTCCCCTCTTCCTCCTCCCCGAGTTCTCGCCGACGCCGCCGCGCGCGGGGCCTGGAACACACGGCACGAGCCGCCCCCGCCCCTCCCCCCTTACGCCCACGCGGAGCCGGCCCCGCGCGCGCGCCCCGTGCACCCCCGCGCCTGCGCGCTGCCCAGGCCCTGCCCGTGCGTGGGGGCGCAGCCGACCCCGGGGGGGTGGGGTAAATAGGGGGGGAAAAAAACAGCGCGCGGAACCGGGCCAGGTGAGAGGCGCGTGCACTCAGGGTCGTGGGGCTGGGGGGGCGTGCCACGGAGTTCTGAACGTTGGGGGGGGGCGTGCACGATGCGTGCAGGCGGCGGGGGGAGGACGTGAAAGGCGCGTGCAAACGTGCAAAGGGGGGGCGGAGGAATGAGGCAGCGGCTAAAAGGGGCGGGGTGAGAAGAGGCTGCAACCTGGGCCACCCCGGAGCCCAAAGCCCCAGGCTTCTGCTCCCCCTTCCTCCAACCTTCTCCTGTGGGCGCGCGGGCTCACCCCATCCTCGCGGGCGGTCAGGCTGGGGGGTGTGGATGCCGCTGCCCCGCCCCCGGGAACCACGCCTCCCTCCTCTGCGAGGGACAGCGCCTCCCGGGGGGTTGGGGAAACTGAGGAAGAGGCCTGAAGACTGGGTGATCTGATTCTGGGGGGTCGGGCAAGAATGAGGGCGAGGGGCCTGGAACCTTGGCTTAGGAGAGCCAGAGACCTTTGTCTCTGACCGGTTTCCTTCCCAACCAGGGTTGCCCACCCCCGCCACAATGGCCTCTGGGGTGGAAGTCCTGCGCTTCCAGCTGCCCGGCCACGAGGCCGCTACACTGCGGAACATGAACCAGCTCCGTGCAGAGGAGCGGTTCTGCGACGTGACCATTGTGGCCGACAGCCTCAAGTTCCGCGGCCACAAGGTCATCCTGGCCGCCTGCTCACCGTTCCTGCGGGACCAGTTCCTACTGAACCCCAGCTCTGAGCTGCAGGTTTCACTGATGCACAGTGCACGCATAGTGGCGGACCTGCTCCTCTCCTGCTACACGGGTGCCCTGGAATTCGCCGTCAGGGACATCGTTAACTACCTGACGGCTGCCTCCTACCTGCAGATGGAGCACGTGGTGGAGAAATGCCGGAATGCCCTCAGCCAGTTCATTGAGCCCAAAATAGGCCTCAAAGAGGATGGGGTCAGCGATGCTAGCCTTGTGAGCAGTGTCAGTGCCACCAAATCCCTCCTTCCTCCTGCCAGGACCCCAAAGCCAGCCCCCAAGCCCCCACCCCCACCCCCTCTACCCCCTCCCCTCCTTCGGCCTGTGAAGCTGGAGTACCCGCTGGATGAGGACCTGGAGCTGAAGGCCGAGGAAGAGGATGAGGATGAGGATGAGGACGTGTCTGATATCTGCATCGTCAAGGTGGAGTCGGCCCTGGAGGTGGCACACCGGCTCAAACCTCCTGGAAGCCTGGGAGGTGGGCTGGGCATTGGAGGCTCCGTGGGCAGCCACCTTGGGGAGCTGACCCAGAGCAGCGTGCCCCCCAGCACTGTGGCCCCACCGCAGGGTGTGGTGAAAGCCTGCTACAGCCTGTCCGAGGACGCGGAAGGGGAGGGCCTGCTGTTGATCCCCGGAGGCCGGGCCAGTGTGGGGGCCACCTCGGGCCTGGTGGAGGCAGCAGCGGTGGCCATGGCTGCCCGGGGGGCGGGGGGCAGCCTGGGGGCTGGGGGGAGCCGGGGACCCCTGCCCGGGGGCTTCTCCAGTGGAAACCCCCTAAAGAACATCAAGTGCACCAAGTGCCCAGAAGTGTTCCAGGGCGTGGAGAAGCTGGTCTTCCACATGCGGGCACAGCACTTCATCTTCATGTGCCCCCGCTGCGGCAAGCAGTTCAACCACAGCAGCAACCTCAACCGCCACATGAACGTGCACCGCGGCGTCAAGTCGCACTCGTGTGGCATCTGCGGCAAGTGCTTCACGCAGAAGTCCACGCTGCACGACCACCTCAACCTCCACTCGGGAGCGAGGCCCTATCGCTGCTCCTACTGCGACGTGCGCTTCGCCCACAAGCCTGCCATTAGGCGGCACCTCAAGGAGCAGCACGGCAAGACCACGGCTGAGAACGTGCTAGAGGCCAGCGTGGCTGAGATCAACGTCCTCATCCGCTAGCGTTAGCGGGGCAGGCAGCTGGGTCCCTGGGCTGGGTGAGAAGGGGGCTCTCTGGCCCAGGAGAATAGGGGGGTGGGGGTCAGGGGCAGGCAGGTACGGTGGGGAACCTGAGCAGATACACATCCTGAGGGAGGGGCCGAGGATTCCTTGGAGAGAAGACCCTGCCTCTTCAGAAGAAAAGAATGGAGGAGGAGAGGGTTCTTTAAGAAGGCCAAGGGAATACGGAGTCAAAGAGAAAGATTTTCTTTTCTTAGTTGTGCATGGATATGTGGAGAGAGGAAAAGGGTCCTATACAAATGAGGAGGAAAAAAGACTGGAAACTGTTTTATTCTTGGGGTAAGGCTGCCCAGGGAGAGGTTCTGACATTTCTTGAGGTAGGGGGCGGGAGGGTGGGAACTGGGAGGGAATTTGGCAGGAGGCAGCTTACCTGCTCCTGCTTAGAATAGATCCTTGGGAGAGGGAGTGGTAGGGGGAAAGGATTATTGAATCTCAGAAAAGGAAGGGGAGACAGTTCTTGCATGCTGGGGAAATGGGACTGTGGGTACAAGGCTCACCGAAACTCTAGAGAGAAGAAAGTAGAGTGGCAGGTGACATGGGGGTGAGCATCCTGGGTAGATGTTGGGATGTGGGGTATAATAGCAAGAACAGTGAATAGTGCTGGGGGGGGTAGGGCACTTAGAGGAGAGGACACGAGAAGGGCTGTTGGGGGGAGGGAGAGGAGTAGAGACTTATACAGTATTTTTTAAGAAAACAAAACGTATTTTTTAGGATTTTTTCTGGAGTTTGGGGTTTTAGTTTTTCTGCTTTTGTTTTCCACAAAATAAAAAAAAAAAGTTTTTTTTTCTTTATAGTCTGTCTGGCAACTGCGTGTAAATGAGCGTCCCACCCTAGACAGCCTCTTCCTCTGATGCCACTTGCTCAATACCTGGAGTCACAACTCATGCACGTCCCATGCCTGAGCCTTGACAGGGGAGGGGAGGGTGATGTGGGCTGCTCTGGCTGGGGACCCTCCCAGTTCTGTAACCTCAATGCTTGGCAGGTACCTCGCTGCACAAGTGTTCCGTGGTTGTTTGGCAGTGGTAACACATGACCTGCTCCTCTCTGAGGAGTCTGGGATCAGGGCCAGGGATGGGGTATAGGTGTGACCATTGTGCCCACCAAGATTGTAAGCAGGAGCCTGTGTTTGGGCATTCTTCGTCTGGGAAAAGGGTTCATGTCCTCAGGAAAGCTAAAAATCACTGTTTGGATTAGGGTACAGGGAAGACTACAATTCCCAGAAAGCTCTGGAATAGTTCTTAACCAAAGAGAACTACAGTTCCCAGAAGGCCTTGAATTGGCCTCAGGTGCCCTATTTCCCAACCACCTGGCTGTGTCAAATACTGAATGTGAAATCATACGGATATTTTCCAAACTTTGACCAGAATGTAATACCTAAAGGGATGGTACCCTAAATACTCCTTTCAAGGTTGTGTGGCTTGGGGAAATATCCTTCCTACTTCCACTGTCAGCTGGGCTATGACTTACGGAGTGCCTAACTATGCTTGTGAAGTGTTTGGCAAAAAGGTTACTTACTACATTGTAACCAGACAGTAATGACTCTCGGGCCGCTGGGGGCTCACCTGGATCCCCAGTGCATGTGGTGGCGTAACATGCCTGGCATAAACAAAAGAGACATTTAGCCCCAGGTTTTCAAAAGGGGACACTGCTCCAGGGGACATGAAGCAGCATGCTAGAAACAGCCAAGAGGAAAGGTGTCCTCCGCGCGTCCCCATCGCCCCCTTCTTGCTCGTTAGAGAAGCGAGGCCAAAACTGAGGCCGAGCCTTCTATCTGGTGACCCAGAAACTAGAAAGCAACCAGAAGCGGGAGAAGCACACGCGGACCAGATTGGAAATACAACCGCTGCCGAGAGCCGGAAAGCTCAGACGCTCCGCTTGTTACCTAAAACCAGGTAGGGGATGCAGAAGCCACACCTGGACCCAGGCGTGCCTCGCCTTCGGTTCCCCGCTGGGCTGAGGCCAGGAATGGAAGGCATTCTCCCCTGCAGGCCCCAGCCTAGGACAGCCACTGCCGTCTCTCCGAAGCCGCTCTCTGGGGAAAAAGGCCAGAAAGAGCGTACTGGCTCCTTTAAGGCTCCTCTTAGCCCTCCCTCCCCCGCCCACGTGACCCGGGGCGGCCGCGCGCCGGCTCGGCCCCCCGCGCAAGCGGCGATGGCGGCGGCGGCGGGAGCTGCAGCGGCGGCGGCCGCCGAGGTGCGGAAGGGGAGGGGGAGAGGCGGGTGCATGCCCGCGCGCGCGCCCGGGGGAAGCGCGCGCCCGTGCAATGCTCCGGGGGTGCAACGGGGCCGGGGGGCCCGGGCGGGACTTGCAGCACTCCGGAGGGCCAGCACCGGGGGCGGATGAGGGGACCAGGGGGTGGGAGGTGGGGGGAGTGGGCACGGAGGCGCGCGTGCAGCCGCCGGCTGCCCCCGAGTGGGCGGCAGGCGCCGGGGCCCCAGGAGCACGCGCGAGGGGCACGAGGGGCCGTCCACCGGGCTGGGGGGCAGCGGGCGCTGGAGGGGTTGGTGCCCGGGGTCCCCGCGGCCTGGGGGACAAAGGGGGAGCGGCGCGTGCAGCCGGGAGGAGGGGGCGGGGCCGGGGCGCGGAGGCCCCGCCCCCTCCCCCTCCTCTCTTCTCGGCCCCTGAGATGCGGGGTCTACCGAGAGGGAGGGGGTTGATGCGGGCCCGGGGGAGGGGTCGTGCGGCCCCTCCGGGCAGCCGAGGCCGCGGAAGGGGGGGCCCCCATAGAGGAAGAGGTAGGCCCCGGAGCCTACTCTCTCTTCCCAGGGCCCAGGCGTCCTGGGCCCCCCAACTTCCTACTGGGCTGACCAGTCCTCCTATCCCTTGTGTCCCCTCCCAGGGGGAGGCCCCTGCTGAGATGGGGGCGCTGGTGCTGGAGAAGGAGCCCAGAGGAGCCACCGAGAGAGGTGAGTTTCTGGCAGAAACGGCCCGACTGGACCTTCACCTCCCCCAACACAGGATCCCCTGAGTCCTAAACGCTGAACTTTTTATCTTCCCTTACAGTTCATGGCTCTTTGGGGGACACCCCTCGTAGTGAGGAGACTCTGCCCAAGGCCAACCCTGACTCCCTGGAGCCTGCTGGCCCCTCATCCCCAGCCTCTGTCACCGTGACCGTCGGCGATGAGGGGGCTGACACCCCTGTAGGGGCCACACCACTTATCGGGGAAGAACCTGAGAATCTCGAGGGAGATGGGGACCTCCATGGGGGCCGCATCCTGCTGGGTGAGAGGCTGCGGAGTCTGAGGGGTGAGATGGGGTAGCCTCTGACTCTGCCTTCCCCCTTATCTTGTCTTCTGCCTGCCTGCCTGTTTTCCAGGCCATGCCACAAAGTCGTTCCCGTCTTCCCCCAGCAAGGGGAGTGCCTGTCCCAGCCGGGCCAAGATGTCAATGACAGGGGCTGGAAAATCACCCCCATCAGTCCAAAGTTTGGCTATGAGGCTGCTGAGTATGCCAGGGGCTCAGGGGGCAGTGGCAGCAGGACCTGAACCCCCTCCTGCTACAGCCGGCCCAGAGGGGCCACCCAAGGTCCACCGAGCCAGGAAAACCATGTCCAAACCCGGCAACGGACAGGTGAGGATTGGAGGAGGATTGTGGGGAGTGAGAGAGACAGGGGTAATCAACAGGGGTAATCAACTGTAAATAGCTTGTGGGCTTTTGTTACAATTTAGCTTTAGGCTTTCTCTAATCTATTCACAGCTTCACATATTTACCAAGGGGTTACTGTATGTTGAATTCTAGGCTGGGGTTTAATCTGTGAACACACAGGTTCCTGTCTTCCTGGAGTTTACATTCTTGGGGAGAGAGGAGTAGAAGAGAGAAGTGTCAATGAGTTAATTATGTAGTTAATGTCTTAATTACTCTTATGGTAATGACTGTGTAAAGAAACTTCAAACCACTCTTCCTTTCTACCTCAAAGCAAGCCCCAAGGGAACTTTTCCTCCCTACTTTGAAACTGCCCCTGCTCCATTTTTAAAGATTTTGCCAAGTCCCTACAGGGAAGGAGATGAAGGCCACAAAAATGACAGAGAAGGGAAATGACAAAGGCCCCAGAATCTCACAGGCTTTATGACAATGTTTTTAGGGCTCTGGATATCATTTTGTTCTGAATGTGGTTTGAGTAGCTTTAGTCAAGGCCTTAACCTTTGTTTTCTCATCTGTAAAATGGGGAGAAAGGGCCTGCTTCTGCGTGCTTGAAGAAGTGAGTGAGTGTTAGGTATGGGATGTGCTTGACACGCTTCCTCTCCGGGAAACAGCAGTTTGTGTTATTGCCGTGTTCTCAGTACTCAGATGGCATTGTTGAGGGTGTGGCTCACCACTCCACCCCCACCTGGCGCTCCAGGCTAAATGTTCCCTGACCTTAAGTGTGCTCCCTCTCACCCTCAGCCCCCAGTCCCTGAGAAGCGGCCCCCTGAAGTGCAGCATTTCCGCATGAGTGATGACGTGCACTCCCTGGGGAAGGTCACCTCAGGTCAGTCCCACCCCCCACCCACCTGTGGCTTGGCCTGGCCCGGCCTGAGGGGTTAGAGTGCAGGTCTCATGCCTTTCTCTCTCACCTTCCAGATGTGGCCAAGAGGAGGAAGCTGAACGCAGGAGGTGGCCTGGTGAGCCAGGAGAGGCAGGGAACAAGGCCTCTCCACCTGGGGGGCTGCCCTCCCCGGAAATGGGAGGTTGGTGGGGGAGTGCCAGGAGCTTCAATTTTTTGATCTTTTCCTAGTCAGAGGAGTTGGGCTCTGCCCGGGGTTCGGGAGAAGTGACCCTGGAGAAGGGAGACCCTGGGTCCCTGGAGGAGTGGGAGACAGTAGTGGGTGACGACTTCAGCCTCTACTATGATTCCTACTCTGTAGATGAGCGTGTGGACTCTGACAGCAAGGTGAGAGGGAGTGGCTACCCTCCTGGCCAGCACGCCTGCTCTCCAGTCTTGCCTGCCTTACTTTTTCATCTTCTGAACACCCACTAATTCACTGCCCCATCCTGTCTATAACTTGTTCCCAGTGTGTGCTCCACCCCATTCCATTTCCTTACCTCTCTCCACAGTGGTGACCACCATCCTTGACTTTGGGTCCCACACCCCACTTCATGGTTTACTTGCTATTTGTTTGTTTATGCCTTTGCTCTTTGTTTGGTTTTATCTCTTACACGTTTGCTTTTGCAATATAATGCTTAGTTTTGTCTATGTTGCTTTCATTTAATGTTTTATTGTAGAAACTTAACGAATATACAGGAAAGAATAGAGGAGTTCGGGGCCAGCCCAGTGGCACAGCTGTTAAGTTCGCACGTTCTGCTTCAGCTGCCCGGGGTTTGCTGGTTCGGATCCCGGGTGCAGACATGGCACGGCTTGGCAAGCCATGCTGTGGTAGGCGTGCCACATATAAAGTAGAGGAAGATGGGCAGGGATGTTAGCTCAGGGCCAGTCTTCCTCAGCAAAAAGAGGAGGATTGGCA